TCGTGTGTTTGCATTTATGCAGCACCGAGCTGCTGGATAGCTTCCAAACAAAATGCCACTTGTGGATTCGAACAAGTATTTCTTGCTCCTCAGTCAACTGTCAACGTAACGTATTCTGGCTTCAAAATTCTAATGTCTTGAAGAATGAGTATCAAATTCTGTCTGTCGAAAGCACGTATCGATCTTCGAGTTTCACAATAATAAATGTTGTGTTGTAAACCACGCAGGCTACTCACTGATTTTTAAAAAAAAAACCAATCAGGAAATTACAACTATGCAGTTTCTGGTACACTTAAATAGATATAAAGACCTTGGACACCAAGCTCTTACTGGCAAAATTGAAGGCAAACGGGAGACAGGTGTTGACCCAGATCTCAAGCAACTTACTTGGTGAGCCTAAACAGATGGGTTACGAACGGGGAAACCTCAGGGTAATGTAGCATTTTTGTGACCATCCGAGCAAAGGAATGAATGGAGAAGCATGGTCCGCAAACGAAGCGGGGTAGACCCAGAGCAACTCACTAAAATAGCCTAAACGGATAGGTTACGGGGAAAACTCGGGATAATGTAGCCTTTTTGAGAGCATCCGAGCAAAGGAATGAATGGAGAACCGTGATCGCCGATGTCTGTCGCAGACTTGGTGGCACTTTGATGAGGATGTTGTGAACGCGCGCGCGTGCCGCGCGTGAGGGGCGGAGGAATGACGCCCAAGCGCGCGGCGGCAACAGGCGAGCGGCGACCGGGCGGGAGGCCCGTCAGCCCATGCCCGTGGCGACATCGTCGGCCGAGTCCGCGCGTTTACCTCTCGGCGTGTGTGCGCGGAGATTGAAAAGACAGAGAGAGAGATACAGAGAGAAAAGAGAGAGCGAGCGACCTGAAGGAGAGAGGAAGAGGGAAAAGAGAAGAGAGAGAGTTTGCGACTGTTCGTATCTGCGACCAAGGGGGTGAGAGAGAGAGAGAGTGGGATATAATATATTTATAGATAGAGAGAGAAAAGAGAGAGCGACCCGAAGGAGAGAGGAAGAGGAGTAGAGAGAGAGAGAGAGAGTGTTCGCGTCTGTTAGTAGTATCTCTGCGACCACTGAGGTGGCGGACATTCGGATGTTGTGCTGGCGCGTGGACGGACAGGCATGACCATGATTTCTTACGTGTTCCGGAGTGTACACCCCAGGTAACCAATGCCCGAGTTCTTCATGTCGTCTACCTACCTACTACTACCACCAACGTGTTGTTTGTACCAATCCCCGAGTTCTTCGTGTCGTCTACCTACCTACTACTACCACCAACGTGTTGTTTGTACCCAGCGCGCATATACGTAGATCTACACCCACTTCTGGATATACGTTGTTATGTGTTCTCTTTTTGTGTGCGAGGATTTAAAAATGAGTGATCAGCAGCACCCTGTCGGTTTGAAACTGGGATCTCTTTTCTGTCTTTAGATAGTCCTGTTTGTGTTTGTGTTTTATCTTTTATTAGAGTTTGGTAATTTTTTAAAGACCTATTCCTCTCATCGTCCTCTGAGTATTTGTCCAATCCACCCCTTTTTTATTCCCCAGAAGGGTAATATTATTATATTCAATGTGTTCATATTTTATTTTTCGTCCGTTCACAATTTGTAGTCGTGTTGTTTTGTTTTTGTTTTTATTTTTGTTGGGTTTTTTTTTTTAGTTTATTGCTTTCTTGGGCGTGGCGGGGGTGGGGGGTACTTTTGAATTCATTTTTGTTGGGATATTGCTTTGCAGCCCTGTGGTTTGTACAAGAAAGTTGCTTCATTTAAAATACATTTACCCGCTTACGCTGTTTAATATTTCTAAGGGCCGTTCTCTTTTGACTCTGTGCATTCTTTCCCGTGCGCCAATCTCTCTCTCTCTCTCTCTCTCTCTCTCTCTCTCTCTCTCTCT